CAGGATGAGGACCAGGCGGGAAGCGAGCAGCGAACAGTCCGCCAAACGCTTGCGAATGGTTATTCGGCAGCGGGCATGGTTCGTGAGCAGACGCAGAGGGGTCAGCGATTTGTCCTGAGTAGAGCTGGCCTCGATGCGGACGGTCTGCCAGGAGAGCTCCTTGAAGATCAGTATGATACCCTTCTGGGCGTCCTTGAGGCGTGTCATGCGGAGGTCAGCATTGGCCCACTTGGGAGTCTTTGACTCGACTCGAATGCGCGACATTTGCACCGAGGCGGTGAAGGCGGCGCTCACAAAGTTCACATTCACAGTGTTGACCACGATGGTGATGCCGTCGACTACCTTATGTATGAAACTGTACTTCCCCTGAGGCACTTGTGGCAGGGTAGCGGCAGCGGCCGCAGGAGATCCCGATCCTCCGCCTCCTGCATCGCGTGTCATGGGATTGCAGGTTTCGATTGTGATGCGCACCTCATCCAGCGTCTGTTTGTTGCGAAAAGGTAACATACGTCAGAGTTGGGAAGGGAAAGCTCGGCCTGCAAGCACTCACCAGTGTGATGGGTACGCTCTTCAGCTTTGTCCAGCTAATGCGGAAGGAGACATGGTTGCACCAGGCCGATGTCAGTCGCAGCCAGCTTGGTAACTCCAGCAGCTCGGTGAGCACCCGCTCGTCCAGCTCCAGGTTCGAAAGCTCCCCCTCGCCGCGGAATGTGCTCAGGTTGATTTTGTCCGAGGAGAGGTTCTTTGTGTAGCTGTGTGTGGGCCAGAGATAAGGGAAAGAGAACCAATGTGAGTCGAGTCGTCTGCCTTGTCTCAGCAATTATTTCTGCCTTGTCGAACATGTCTCATCGCATTTGCAGGGGGTCGTGGTTCGTGCGGAACTATCGGCACCATATGGGGCCACTCAGTCAGTTGCCACCAATTGACCCACTTCCCGCATATGGCTGAGCATAATTGAAGTCGAAATCGAAACATTGATTGGGTTAAACTTGCGAAGGGTTCCTATAGCTGGCAAGAGCGCATCCGCAGGCGAGCGGGTTGCGGAGGCACTCAATGAAAAGTTGATTCTATTAAAAGGCAACTTGTTACTTAACAACTTTGAGTAAGTTTTCTTTGCGACCTTTTACGTGACGGGTTGGGGGGATTACGTGAGAATCGTGGCATAGGATGAGGGTGGGGAGAGGACAACAAGTTTGCTCTGCATTTACACTTTTGGCCTTGTTGGGTTATAAACTTGGCTTGTTTGCAGCTTAATTGCGTGGAAAATAAGATGGAAAGATGGCAAACAAAGGATTCGAGCATTAGACCAAGACAATGCCAACCCCAAACTCTAAGGTTGTGTGTGTGCCTTTGTGTGTATGTACATATTTTTTATATATAGCATCCATAAATATGTACTTAGTTATAAGACAAAAAAGCTATTATTAAGAGAGATGGCAAGACAATGCACGTATTTACATATGTACATATATATGAACATAATAATATGTATGACCTGTTTTACAATAAACATGCATACATATATTAGATTGTGAAAGGTTTCCTTTTTCTCATTGTAATGTTGCTACACACGTAGTACCACCAGCGTGCCCACATGAAAGTCCTTCCCAACTGCTACCATCGACACCAGCCAGATGGAAAGAAGATAATGTCGGAGACTCCAACAACAAAATACATGTCGTTTTCATTACATCATTACATTGATGAATCGAATTCAAAATTCAAAAAGCGTGCATGACACCCGCGTACTCAAAATACATAAATATCTACCATATTGAAATAATATTGAAAATGACAGAGAATATTGAATAATTATTCTTATTAGAATACATGTTATTTTAAGGCAAAAGTTTGATGGCATAGTCACAAGTGCCCTCGACCTGGTTATCGGATAACCCATCAAGTAAGCCATATTGCGGGAAACAGCTTGAAAATTTAATTTCGCATGCGATTGCCGGCGGCGGAGGAGGACGGCGACTCAATTTCAAGACGGTGCAAAAAAAATAGGAGACAGAGAACGAAACTAAAAGTGCGTCGGGGAAAATTGACAATCCACTTGTTACACCAGGAGCTGGCGGCGCTCTACCTCTATTCTAGGGCGTGTGGGCATGGGTGGGTGGCACTACGTGTGCTGGCTGAAGCACGAAATTATTGCGGGAGGCGGTGGTAACTTAGCCATAAGCGATAAAGAACACATAAAAGCGGTAAAAAAATTGGCCGACAGGTGACGAAAATGAGAAGGGGTGGGAAGCTGCAAAAAATATACACTTGCTCACATATCTCTGCGTACACATAGAAAAAGAACTACATTTGTATGTTCAGTTGCGGATAACTTTTAATATAAGGCACTTGGGGCAACGATTTTTTTTTTATAATATTCTTTGCTTATTTCTAAACTTAACTACATTTTTTTTTTATTCTATACAACAAACTTAAAAGGAAAAAAAAATCATTCAAAAAAACATAAGGAAAATTTGACGCCTCAAAAGTCTGCGTACACTCTAACAATTCTGCGTACAATGCCGGAATTCGAAACTGTTAATATTTGGTGGGATATCCATTTTGTTTTAAAACATCTGCCAGACGTCTAGGCATTGATTCAACCAGATTCCTGGTATCCTCGGTAGTTATTTTTCCCCATTCCTCCATGATGACGTCCTTCAACATGTTTTTGGAAGTTATGGTGTGCTCACGAATCCTGCGCTCGAGTAAATCCCATAGATGTTCTATGGGATTCAGGTCTGGGGACTGAGGAGGCGATCGAAGCTGATTTTTAACATTATAAAGCAGCCAGAGCTTCGCATTCTGGGCAGTATGCTTCGGATCATTGTCTTGTTGGAAGCAAAAGTCGTCTTCAAGGTCCAATTTTCGGGCACTCTGCTGAAGGTTTTCTTTCAGAATTTGAATATACGCTTTGTGGTCCATTGTGGATTCTATAAAGACGAGATTCCCAACACCATTGGCCGCCATACAACCCCACACCATTACACCACCACCTCCATGTTTTATAGTCGGCAGTAAATTTTCTTTATCCATGGCTGTTCCGCTTTTTCTCCAAACAATTTTTTTCCCCTTTATGCCAAATATGCAGAATTTGCTCTCATCTGAAAAAATGACCCTTTTCCAGAAGCTGGGATCCTTAGAAATGTATTCATTGGCGAAATCCATACGCTTTTTCCTATTGACCTCTGATACATGCGGTTTCCTGCGAGCAACTCGGCCATGAAACCCTGCCTTTCTCCAAGTGCGTCGGACAGTTTCTTCAGAAACCACTTTGGAGAAACGTTCTGCAACTTCCAGTTGTCCTTGGTGAGCAGTAATCCTTGGATTAAGTGGTACCAGTTGCTCAATACGCTTTTTCTCCCGTTCTGTCAACAACGGGGGTCGGCCAGACCGGGGCTTTGACAGTATGGAGCCCGAAAACACATAATTTTCATAAACTCTTTGGCACGAGGAATGCGTTCTGCCAATTAATCGACCAATTTCCCGGTAGGATTTGCCCTCCAACTTATATTTTAAAATAAGTTTTCGGACTTCGACAGAAATTTCTTTTCCTTTTTGCTCCATTATCAACCGCGTGCAAATATTCTTTCAACGCAATGGGAAAGAACGCACATCAACGAAAAACGATAAAGCAAAGTGAAAAAACTAACGGTAATCGCGAATTCCGGCATTGTACGCAGAATTGTTAGAGTGTACGCAGACTTTTGAGGCGTCAAATTTTCCTTATGTTTTTTTGAATGATTTTTTTTTCCTTTTAAGTTTGTTGTATAGAATAAAAAAAAAATGTAGTTAAGTTTAGAAATAAGCAAAGAATATTATAAAAAAAAAATCGTTGCCCCAAGTGCCTTATATTAAAAGTTATCCGCAACTGAACATACAAATGTAGTTCTTTTTCTATGTGTACGCAGAGATATGAGAGCAAGTGTATGTACAGAATCAGCACCGCCAGAACACTGGGAAAAATCAATTTAGTTTCCAGTAGCTCTGGCGTCCGCCCGCTGACCCCGAGAGATTCAGATTACTGTGCTCCAGCAACTGCAGCAAATAAACATAGTTTTATAATTCGCTTTATTGCAAACCAAACTCGGCTGGGGCAGAGCCAACACTTACATGGACAAATGCTTGAGCAATTGGTTCTTTATCAGCGAGACCATTTTAGCAACGTCAGCAGTGAATGCAAATGGAAGACGGCGGTGTAACCAAATAAACAAACGAGCAGAGACGCTTCCACCTTAGAATCGCTCGCACAGAAAATTCAACGTCCGCGCACCATAACTTCGTTAGTTGGGATCTTGGAGGCACTCTGCGGAAGCAAATGTGGTTCACTATCAATTTTTTTTCTCCACTGTCGACTGTATCTCAGAATCTTTGGTGCACCGGCACGGAGATCAATTGGAAAACTCGCGAGTGTGCTTAACTTGTCCCAGCTGTGGGCCTCACATATTCACGTGCACTTCGAGAGATGTCAGTTGGTCAGACTATGCAAAAATTAGTCATGTTTGAAAAATTGGAAAATGGGACAGTGCAATTTCCAAGCAGGGTTGCACAGTCGCACTCCACAAAGTGCTGAAATGCGCATTCCCATTGTGCGATATATCGTTTGAGGGGAACATTTGTTTTTGAAGCCCTTACGGTGGTACGACACTAGGCTTTGCCTTCTTTGCTGTGAAGAGGGAGAGAGAGATAGAATGCGAACTAAAACTCAAAGTTAGAGTTCGTGGTTGTTGGCCCAGTATCGGACTCGCTGTGGCGCTGCTGGTATTATTATTGCGATTATGCGGGAATTATGCAGCGCTGCGCGCATTCGGGATACAATTATGTGGGCTGGATTCTATCTATATAGTAATATTCGACGGAATAAATAGCTGTATCAAAAACGAGGAATATGTATGATGGTACTTGAATTCGTCAGTATATTTACGGTATTTTTAAAATGAGACCGTATATTTTGGAATGTTTCTGAGGGTCGGACGGTATATTTTAACGTCACACTGGATGAAACAAACAACTTAAAAAATTAAATTGCGAAGAACAAAAAATGTCCCGCAGCGCGAATTCACCAGACGAGCTGGTGAAGCAGGTAGTGGAAATCACGGCGTGCAATGCGGATGAAGCCAAACACTATTTGGGAGCCTGTGAAAACGATGTGGCTGCTGCGGTGGCCCTGTTCTTCGAGCAGGGTGCAGCCTCAACATCATCGACGAGCGCGGGTCCTTCATTGCCGGTGCTGGACGATGAGGACGAGGTTCGTGCTCCCATAGCTCCAATTAGGGAACAGCTAATACTGCCAGAAGATGACAACTTCTTTGCGTCCGGTGGGAGCAGCAGCAACCGGCTGTCGCGCGTCACACAGCGACAGAAGGTCTGTCCTCTCCGCGACTTTGCCCGAGAGGCAGCTCTGATGGAGGAGCAACTGCAGGCCACGGGTGCCTACTCGGACCCTGGCGCCCATCGAAGGCGTCGTGAACGCTCCGCCCAAATGGTTGTCGCCGGTCAGGCCATCGCGCTAAATTCACGCGTCGGTGCGGCCACAGCCACCGCCACATCCCGCCTTGGTGATCTATTCCGCCCCCCCACAGACATACTCTATTCTGGAACTTTGACGGCGGCCCGGGAGTTCGCCACCAAGAGACAACGATGGCTGCTGGTTAACGTACAAGGCGACAATTTTCAGTCGCAGACCATGAACCGCGATGTCTGGTCAAACAAAGATCTAAAGAAGTTGGTTAGGCGTCAATTTACGTTCTGGCAGGTGGACAACGACACCTCCGAGGGACGCCGCTTTGTGGCCTTTTATCACTGCGCGAAGCTACCGTATCTTTGCATAATTGATCCCCGCACCGGCGAGGAGGTTTGGCGAAGCCCGGAACCCACTCAGGAAAATGTTTTGCCAGATTTGAGGCAATTTCTGCGAGAGCACCGTGACTTTACTCACGAAGATGCTCCTAGCACTTCTAAACGAGCCGCCAAGCACCTCGAAGACGATGAGATCGAGGACGTGGACGTGGATGCCGAGGCCTCGTGCTCGTCGGCCAGTTCCCGCGGAACGCCAAAGAAGCGAGCCAAGCTGCTGGAGCTCACCGAGGAAGAGCAGCTCGAGCTAGCCATCAAGAATTCGATGAATGAAAATGGAGACGCCATCAAGGTAGATGGTCAGGCGAGCGATGCGGAGAGCCTTGAGGAATTCGACGATGACGAGCTTAAAGTGACTGCAGTTGCAGCTGCTGCCACCGCCACCGCGACCGCCACCTCCTACGAAACTGAGCTGGGCAAAGCCAATGACGAGGTGACCACATTAAAGCTGCGTCTGCTGAATGCCTTGGGCGCCGATGAAGTCGTCCAGCTACGCTGGCCCTCGGACACCAAGCTGCAGACCCTGCGTCTGTACATTCGCCAAACGCACAAGCACATCCCTCAAGAGGGCTACAAGCTCATCTGCGCCTTTCCGCGCAAGTCGCTCGAGGCCGAACACAACCACAGCTCGCTGAAGGAGCTCGGACTGCATCCCTCTGCTAATGTGCATCTCACTCTAGACGACTAAGCTGGTGGCACACACTTGGTCTAGGTCTGTCCAAATTAAACAGCGCAACGCATTCTTCATATAATTATTTACAATTTGGTCTCGCCCCGTACCCTCCTATCCCAAAGCTCCACACGAACTAAAATGCTGTATTAAGTTTAAGGAAACAATACATTGAATAAAATCTACTAGGAAAGCTACCTAAATTTGTTTTTAATGTTGAAAGAGTCTAAATCTGAAGAAACTTTGAATGCATAACCACCCTGCCTTTGCTTTGGCGCCAAACCGAAATCAGCTGTATCTGCACAGCACGCCACACACTGGTGGCCCGCACTCGCTCTGGATTCTATTCTTCATCTCAAAAATTATAAATTGTTTCAATTGACTCCAACAATAGGCGCGTCATGTCGAAGCCAATTACCTTTGTTACGGGCAACGCCAAAAAGTTGGAGGAACTAGTGGCAATCTTGGGCCCTAATTTCCCCCGCACCATTGTGTCCAAGAAAGTAGATTTGCCGGAGTTGCAAGGTTCGCATTCAATATTTTTTTCCATTATTTGATACTCTAAAGAGTATCATTTACAGGTGACATTGATGAGATAGCTATTAAGAAATGCAAGGAGGCAGCGCGTCAAGTCAATGGTCCTGTGCTGGTGGAGGACACCAGCCTGTGTTTCAACGCTCTAGAGGGCTTGCCAGGGCCATACATTAAGTGGTTCTTGGAGAAGCTGAAGCCAGAGGGGCTATACAGGCTACTTGCTGGATGGGAAGATAAGTCCGCGCAAGCAGTGTGCACCTTTGGCTATTGCGAAGGCGCCGATGCAGAGCCGCAGTTGTTTAAGGGCGTTACAGAGGGTGTGATCGTGGAGCCGCGTGGGCCCAGGGACTTTGGATGGTGAGTCACTTGCACGAGTTAATATGAATATGAATAATGGTAAACTCTTTTGATACAGGGACCCTGTGTTCCAGCCAAAGGGCTATGAAAAAACATATGCTGAATTGCCCAAGTCGGAGAAAAACACCATTTCGCACCGTTATCGGGCTTTGGAATTGTTGCAGAAGCATTTCGAGGCCGAAGACAGTTAAGACCGCGCTTTCTATAAAATAAGAATGAATTTATTTAATATTTGAATATTTGTTCTACAATGTCGAGAAAATGTTCCAACTGAAGAGAGTCGAGGTACTTTAATTCTAATCTCTAATCGACCTTCTTGCTCTTTGGCTTCTTTGCCTTCGCCTTGGCGTCCTGTGCGCCAGAGGGTTTGTTCCAGTAGTAAAGCAGCTGTGCCACAATAACTCCATTGGCAAATGTGGAGAAGCAGAAGGTAATAATCATCATTTGATCGCCCGTCTCCTGTATGGAGGTAAAGATTCGAGCCACTGATCCGGCAAACATCATGAAGCATGTGGCGGCTGACAATTGGCCGGTAGATCCAGCCTTGTAGTTGGTGAACGCCTGCGACAGCTTGCCCACCAGCAGAATGGGAATATTGCAGCTCTGGATGGTGATCAATGCCTTCATTGGTGTTAAGCCAGAGTTGAGCACGTAAAGAAATACTGCATATGCCAGGAGGAATATCACTGACTGAACCTTGCGCCCGCTGAAATACAAGACCAAGACCGCAATCGCCACTGTTTGAAACGCCAGGAAGGTACTATCGCCCCAGGCACTGAAGGGATAACCATTCATAAAGCTGTAGGACATGTGAAACGTGATAGCCAGCAGATCCAGCATGACGCCCACTATGTTGATGCCTTCGCCGGACTTGTTATTAAGGATTTTTAAAACCTGGGGGACCTTCACAAGCACCGACCCGGCAATGATAGCCAGCCCAAGTCCCTTGCTCAGCAGAGCCTTGAAGCAGGGAACTGCAAAAATAGTTTAATTCAAGAGATACTCAAGTTATGGTAACAGCCCTGTCCACTCACTGTCCAAGAAGTCGTGCTCCAGGAAGTAGTTATCGTAACACTTCTGGCTCATTAGGAACAGAGCTCCTTTCCTGATAAGATCCGTCATTTTTCTATTTTTTTTTTAATTTGTCTTTTATCACGGACGAAACGATGTACTTTGGTGCGGTGAGTGTTTGGTGGCGTCTTATCAAGCCGCTAGTCGCCGATTGTTTGCAGTCGAAAAATGAAATGGAAAGCCAGCAGCACACGCACACGTAACGATAAAAGACACCCGCATATGCCAAGAGCTACGAAAGAAGTAAATGTGCACCCGGTTGCGAATCGAACGGAATCGGCGCTGATAAGATATTACTTCCACTGTGCGTTGGGAGCGACCTTTCTGCAGAATTAATGTGGTATCAGTGGATCCGGCGAAATCGCTACGTGGGTCTAGTGACTAAGCAACCCTGTTGCACCGTGGTAAGGAAATATTCGAAAATTGGAATTTTATAAAATACACTAACATGTAACTTTAAAATTGACTCAATGGTCAAACAATTTACTTAAAACTCCGACCGTAAGCTTAGTTTAGTAAACTAAACTTCTTAACAAATATAATGAAATATCATGAATTCACCGACTTCTTTTAAACTTTCTTTCTTTCTTTTAAGGCTAAATGCGTCCTAACCAAATTTTAATTATCTTATTGAGCTGTAGTTTTCGAATATTATTTTATGATACGAGAACAAATATTTTGTGTGGAAAAAGGGAATTTTTTGCTTAGGTATTCTCATATCAACGTAGTCCACTGCAGACGCATCTTGAATCACTGTGCGTGTCAAGCCCAAACCAGTCTGGCTACGCTTCAAGCGGGTGGCAGCGCTGTGCACAATAGATAAAACAGAATTGTTTACACTACACTGCTACGCTGCATCGAGTCGAGTCGACGTGAAAAGCAAGTATTAGGCTTAGTAAAACAGTTAAAAGTATTTTCAATTAACATGTCGAGGTGCGATGGGGCCAGTGGAAGCAAGAAACCGCGGTCGGACAGCAACAGCAACTGCAGCAAGGACTTAAATGGTTCGGCGGACGGCACCGGAGATGTAGGCGTATCTCGTGACAAAGTCGCGCTGATAACCGGCATAACGGGGCAGGTGTGCAACAAATTTTCAAGTTATTCGTCAGAGTTCTGCGAACAGCTAATGCTTACGTGTTAAAAACATTTTGCGCTTTCCTTATCTCCCCAGGATGGCTCATACTTGGCAGAGTTCCTGCTCAAGAAGGACTATGAGGTCCATGGGATTATCAGACGGGCCAGCACCTTCAATACTACACGCATTGAGCACCTCTATGCTGATCCGAAGGCGCACAAGGGCGGAAAGATGAAACTTCACTATGGTGACATGACGGATAGCAGTAGCCTTGTGAAGATTATCAACATGGTAAAGCCCACAGAGATATATAACTTGGCAGCACAATCACACGTGAAAGTATCCTTCGATTTGAGTGAATACACGGCCGAAGTGGATGCCGTGGGTACTCTACGCATACTCGATGCCATTCGCACCTGTGGTATCGAGAAACTTGTGCGGTTCTATCAGGCTTCCACATCGGAGCTGTATGGTAAAGTCGTGGAGACGCCACAGAATGAGCAGACCCCATTTTATCCAAGGTCGCCGTATGGTGAGAAATCAAAATAAGTCCATTTGAGACGAGGAATATTCTAAACTCTTGTTCTTACAGCCTGCGCCAAGATGTATGGTTTTTGGATAGTCATCAACTACAGGGAGGCCTACAATATGTACGCCTGCAATGGAATCCTCTTTAACCACGAGAGTCCGAGGCGCGGAGAGAATTTTGTTACCAGAAAGATAACGCGAAGCGTGGCAAAGATTCTCCTGAACCAAATGGAATACTTTGAGCTCGGAAACTTAGATTCGAAGCGGGATTGGGGCCACGCCAGTGACTACGTGGAGGCAATGTGGATGATGTTGCAGCGTGACAGCCCATCGGACTATGTGATTGCCACCGGAGAGACGCACAGTGTACGTGAGTTTGTTGAGGCTGCCTTCAAGCATATTGGACGCGAGATAACGTGGCAAGGCAGCGGTGTAGAAGAGGTAGGCATAGAACGCAGTACTGACACTGTTCGCGTTCGCATAAATCCAAAGTATTTCCGGCCCACGGAGGTGGACCTTCTGTTGGGTGATGCCTCGAAGGCCAAGCGGGAGCTTAATTGGACGCCAAAGTGGAGTTTTCTGCAGTTGGTCAGCGACATGATGAATGCCGACATCGAGCTCATGAAGAAGAATCCCATTGCATAGAGCATTGAGCTCATGAAGAAGAATCCCATTTCATAAAGCAGCGCCCATTCCTCCCTGGACTAGGACTGCAAATGGCACAAAGCTCTCTGCCCCGTCCTTGCGGATCTATAAATTACATATACAACAAATAGTCTTAGGCAATGGCAAGTGATCAATGTATTGGATTTGTAACTTGTTCTGTGTTCTCTGTGGGATTCGCAATCATTCCTTTTTCGTTTTGTTCTGTTTGTGATTATATGTATTTTTTTTTACCAAATCTAACGAATATTTGCAATAAATAAGTTTAAATCAAGGATGAGGTTATGGATTTGGAAAACGGAACTTCCAAAATAACTTTTATTCTTTCCGAGCTAAACACAGATCAAAAACAAACAGAATGTGGACAGCCTTAGGTCTCCTTCTTACCAAAAGGATTGATCTTCGACAGCCAATTGGAGGACGAGGGCGACGATTCCCTGTAATTAAAAATATAATATATGAGATAATATATATAATACATACATCTAGGACATTTCTTTGTACTAACAGCTTGGTCAACGCCTCAATATCTGCATCCTTGTGTTCGCTAGAAGCTGCCAGTATATCTGGCTTCTCTAACTTTCCCGCTTCTCTGATGCCCGCTTCCCTGAGCTGTTCAATCAATTTACTACGAAACTCCACCTTGTGCGGCTGTACTTTTTCCGCATCGCGCAGTTGCCCCTGGAGCTTACGTATTGCCTCCAGGTACGTGTGACCATACCAATCGATTTCTTCAGGTGTATATGGCTCTAAGTACCGGCTGTATTCCTTGAGGACCTCCTGCTGGTGCTGAGGATCGTCTGCTAATGCGGGACAACCCGCCTGAAGCGACAGCAGGAGTTGACGCTTCAGTTTTAGGGCCAATGCCGAACGCAAGTCGCAGGCCAAATTTTTCAGCAAATAATGATCAAAGCCATGGCATTCATGAATCTGCTCAAGTGCGCGCTCCGTAACAATTACGGAAATGTACTCGTTCAGCACCTGGCTGTGTACTACGGAGCGACGAAGCTGCGGCACCCAAAAGTGTGGAACGCGACGCTTCGTCTGCTGACGCTTCTGGAAGCCCTTAATCACGGCCTCTCCACCCCAGATCCCTTGGTGCGATTCAGGGGTATCAATGAGTGGCAAAGGGATATTTTGCACCGGCTTAATTACATTTGTGACTTCGTCGCGCTCCCATTCGCTCTCCTTGGGTATATAATGAACTGCGGCTGGCTTCGTTAGCTTCCATTCACGCCAAAATTTCTTATAGGCTTCGGGGAGCTGGGCTCCTAGACCCTTGTCAAAGCGACCTGGACGCTTCCAGCCATTCAACAGCTTTAAGCCCTACGAAGGTAAAACAATTGTTAGGCATCAAAGTTTACGAATCTATTGCGTCACAAAAATGTGGGAGGCAGGCGCAGGATTGGCTTGGAAATTCGAAATTTCCTCTTACCTGCGGTGTGGCGTGAGCCATGGTTTACAGTATACGGATAGTCGGCGGCAGTTTTTGTGTACTAAAAACAACGATCAACAGTCTTAATGATGAAATTTGTCTAGAATTCCCTGATTTTGGCCAGACCACGGTTCGCTTCCTCTTCCCGATTGAAACCAGAGGAACAGCTGTTCCACGATGGTTTCGCTGTGAATGCCAAGCCATATTTTGCAATAGACCTGGCAACCCTACCCTTCCAATTGCTTTCTGATTTACAAAACTTAAAAGTAAACAGACAAAGAAATAACCATGTCGAATCCTCCGAAAGGTAATCCATTAAGTGAGGCCACTGCTCCGTCTTACAAATACTGCAATGCCGCGGACTCCGTTGCAATGGTACACAAGACAAGACATTCCACCCCTGATCTATGTATACGTTTTCATATAATTTCTTTGCAGCGCGCACCTCCTCCCACGTATGAGGAGAGTCAGCGGAACAGTGGAGGCTTTGGGCATCAAGCATCATACTCTTCGGCACCTGGACAAAATCAGTATTATGGCATGATTAGTCATAATCAGCAGGTACCATTCAATACACAGCCGAGCCAGGGTATGGGTGTGCCCGTTCATCACGGCACTGGCTATGGACTGGCAGGGCCGAGCACTTCAGCTGGAGCTGCAGCCGCACAGGTTCTTCAGTTGGATTCCCGAGCTGAGGTCAGGACCACTCCATCGGGCTCTGTAGTTATTCCGCCGCCACCGCCTGGCTGCCTGCCAACACCAGCACAATGGGCGGCCATGCAGGGCCAGCCGGTGGTCCTGAAGCAAAAGAAGCGTTCCTTTTTTTGAATATCCAAAAACTATTCACACGAATGTAATCTGATGTTAATCCTTAATGTTACTTAATAAACGATGCGTATTTCTCTTCGTTCTCGCGTATATTTGACAATTCGCTATGCACATGAACATGGCACCAGTGAATGAGGTAAGGATTAGGTCCCGTCTTCACTGGCTATGTCTTCCCTCCACATAAATACTACAGACTACTGGGTGGATTACTCGAAAATGTTCTCAAAGTATGTACTATCGAATGTTTGAACACGCACGAAACCGTCTTCACCGCCCGAGGCGTAACTCTTGCCGTCCGGATGGAAGGCCAAACTGTTGATGGGACCGAAATGTCCCTTGAGACGGGCGAACTCCTCCTCATAGATCAGATGGAAAAATCGCGAATCGAATTTTCCCGCCTTTGTCGACGTTGTGGTCACCTCCATGGCGTCCTGGCCTCCGCCCAGCACAACGTGATCCAGAATTGGGCTTATGGCTGCCGAGTTAACGGGACGTTCCGTCTTGTAGGTTTTCAGGCACATCAGGGACTCAGAGTCGAACAATTTGGCCGTGGTGTCCCTGGAGGCGGTCACGAACATGGTGCCATCCTTGCTCAACTGCATGTCGTTGATTCCGGCAGCGTGATCGCTCCCAGAGTCGACAACCTTCTGACCCTTCCGAACGTCCCAGATGGCAATATTGCCATTGTCGTGACCTATACAGAAATTTATATTATTTTATATATTTTGGAATCTCTTTTTAGGAGACCTATCCTGTCTTACCTGTAATGATGGTCTCATCCAAGGGACCCCACTGCATGGAAGTTATCTTCGATTCAGTCATGGGTATACGCAGAGTGGGCGTCTGGTCGGCCAAAGTCGAGTCGGCATTGCGCACATCGATGATGAACAGCTCACAGTTCTGTCCCATGGCTTTGTCCGTGGAATATGCAGCCTGGTTGCCAGAAAAACTGAAATTACTGGTACGCACCGACGACTTGGTGGGGATGGAGGCAATGATAGTGCCATATTCCACGTCCCAGAGTTTGGTTGTCATGTCACCAGCACCAGTGATCAGCTTCCTGCTTTCCCAGTCCACATCGAGGCACCAGACGGCTCCCTGATGCCCATCGTATGTACCCAGGCGTTCGCCGTTCAACGAGTACCATACATTGGGCTTCTGATCCTTAGAGCAGGAGAACAGCAAATCTCCCTCGCGATTGTATTTGATTTGCGTTATGGAACGCTCGTGACCTTGCAGCATCAACGGACGCTGTAAAGAGAATATATTTGCAAATTTTAGCCAACAATGAACCGCCTTTTAAGGTTATGTTTTCCACCGAATCACAAAAGGTTGGCTACTTTTCACAAAGGTCGCCATTCTTGCAATCCCAATGATAATAGTTGTTAGATTTAAGAATTCAAGGTGTTTTTTCACTTATCACGCACCATTTTGTATTTCTTATTAATTTATCGCGAGAAAACAATAATTTCTGCACATCCACGCAGCACTACAAGTCGAAAAGAGCTGCCAACCTAGCGTAAATGAAAATGCAACGCAGCTACGCTGCCAATCTATTATATTTTAGGTCGAATTTTGACAGCAATTTCTATGTAACATGAAATACGCAAGGTGTTGCCTAGCCTATGTGAACCATCCCTTTTTGTTTAGCGAATTCCATTTGGCTATGTTGACCAGAATCGACGCCACACACTGTTCCTTATCCCTGTTCTGGCCGTAGTAATCCACAAATTCTCCGTCCGGGTTGACTAGGTACATGATAATGGTGTGATCGACAATATAGTCGTTATCCTCGTCGCGTGGACCGGCACTAAAGTAAACACGAAAGGCCTTGCAAACATTTCGTATCTGGTCCACAGTTCCAGTTAGTCCCAGCAGCTTTGGTGAAAACTCCTTGACATATTTTCCGACCACTTCCTTGGAGTCACGTTCTGGGTCCACTGTGATGAATATAGGCTGCACTGCTGGCGTCTGTGGAGATTTTTCTGTAATGTAATGTAACCAGGATGATTCAAATTCAGCGTGTTTTAATTTTGTCTTTCTACACACCGACTTCATCGACGACAGCAGCCATCTTCTCCAGCTCATCGGGACAAATGTCTGGACAATGAGTGAAGCCAAAATATATGAGCAGCCATTTTCCTAGAAATTCTTCAGATTTCCGTACTTGTCCTTGGGAGTCGACTAAGTCCCATCGCCCGCCGATAGCTGCCTTGCCGAGCTGCCTCTTGCGCTCCTTCATTCGTGCCTCATCCTTCTCGCTCTTCACATAGAGCATAAATCCCAATCCGCCGGCGCCCAGTACTCCGACAACAGCCAAGCCCTTCCACGATATCGGCCCCTTTCCCTTAACAGGATCTGGCGCCGCGGCCAAACTACGTTGCGGCCGGAGGACTGGCTGGTGGGCCAAGCGCCTACAGCTGCCTAGCAAACGTTGCAAGGAGCGTGACATCTTATCTGACTATTTCAGGATTTTTCAACTTTTACGTAAATCGGCTGGAGAATAAATCTCGCCGGTCCGTTTCTTATTCTTATTAAACTGACATTCGCAACGGAATCTCAGCTGTTTGTAAATGGGTGCTGCCAACCTAGGATAATCTTAGCATTATTTTTGAACTAACACGTGCAGGAAATTGTGTCCTAAATAAAATATTAACTAAGATGTCCAGTCCCATAAGAAAGGAGCCGTTGCTATACATGGAGGAGCACAGAGTCAAAGAGGATCCACAGGACTATGGACTGGCCGACGATGTGTTTAACATGGAAGTCTTTAAAAAGAAACTGCAAGTAGCAATCGTCCGGTAAGAATATAATCTTTAGATTATAGGTTCCTTATGATAGAATACTATATATATATTCATACATATTTTGCAGAAACGATGAAGACGGCTTGGAGTTTGACATGATAGGCGTGTATCCCGCCATAGCTAACGCTTTTCGCCGCTTGATGCTTAGCGAGGTACCCAGCATGGCCATTGAAAAGGTGTACATCTATAATAACACCTCCATTATACAAGACGAAGTGCTGGCGCATCGTATGGGACTTCTACCCTTGAAGGCCGACCCCAGGCTGTTTGCCTATCGCACTGAAGAGAGCGGCGAGGCTGGAACCGAGCAGGATACTTTGGAGTACGAGCTGAAAGTGAAGTGTACCCGCCGCAAGGATGCCAGCAAAGATCAATCCAACTTTGATGACATCTACAAGAACCACAAGGTCTATTCGGGCCATTTAAAATGGCTGCCCAAGGGAAAGCAGGCACAAATTTACAGTGAGAGCATGGTCAATTGCATTCACGAGGATATACTCATCGCTCAACTGCGACCAGGACACGAGCTGGACTTGCGTTTGGTAGCTGTCAAGGGACTCGGCAAAGATCATGCCAAGTTCTCGCCGGTGGCAACTGCTTATTATCGTCTGTTGCCACAGATTAAGCTGAACCGCGAAGTTTATGGCAAGGATGCCTACTTGCTGCAGAGCTGCTTCTCACCCGGTGTAATTGGAATCGATGAAAATGAGTGTGCCTATGTGAAAGACGCCCGATATGATAGCTGCAGTCGCAACGTCTATCGCTATCCCCAGCTTGAGGACTCTGTGACCCTGGGGCGTGTGAGAGATCATTATATATTCACCGTCGAGTCTGTAGGGTCTCTCAAACCAGACGTGATCTTTCTGGAAGCAGTTAAAGTCCTTAAAAAGAAATGCAGGGCCTTTATAGACGAAATAGAAGCGGAATAGTTATTATTTAGATTAGCCGTTCCAGAGTTAATTATTCTATGTACATAAGAAAAAACGATATAAACATATGTAAGCTTAAGTACTGCGTTTGGCTTCCCTATTGCGCTTCAGTATTTTCAAACGGTATTCGGTGAGCACCACCTGCAGGCGCTCTTGGCACATCAAAGCATCTTCCAGATCCATGTGATTCAACTGCAGCGACACGCTCTTGCCAAACAAATCGAATTCGCTCATTATGTTTTCCTCGGGTATGGACACTTCGTGCATATCCTCCAGTTGTACACCGTTAACATCGTCGTGCTTCATTTGTATCATCTCGGTTTCCAACTCCTCGGTTTCAGGCTCGCCGATGTGCTGCTCTTCCCGTTCGTCCACGTTTTCCCCTTCGGACAGGTATGCCCTCTCCAGCGACTCGTTCCCCAGCAAATCATCTAATATGGAATCATCGTTAGATGCCATTTCATGATCTTCCACGGCCTCTATCTTTTCAATTTTCATTTTTGGCTTGGCTTTGGCCTTAGGCTTGGGCTTCGGCTTCGGTTCGTTTGGAATGATGCCGTCTTCAGCTTTAATCATATTCTAAAATAATTTTTTGTATTAGCGTGCCTTTGTCTTTTTCTCGTTGTTTGTGTTAGTTTATGCTCACCATAGATAGGAACTCGTTGCACTTCATGCTTTCCTGGTGCTTCCTGGTGTTGTGATGCTGCTTGACAGACGCCAATCTAGCCAAAACAGTAGCGTCGCAAATTTGACATTGAGCTGAATAACCGTCATTGCTTGGACGCAACCAGAGTGAAAACGAAGGAATTCTTTCCCACTCGGCGCGATATCTTTGGTGGTACAGTCTCTTCACTTTGCTTGTGTTGAAGGGGGCACCGCGTTCGGTCTTAATTCCTTTCATTGTTTAGATTTCAATGATTTAGATTGCGTCAATAATGATATTAAAGTATATTTGCGATATTTCTTTTAAATGTGGGCTGCGCGGCGCCAAAAAATGCAACTTTTTTGTGGAATTTTCTGGTATATTTGCGACATAAAACTAAAGTGAAAAAAGAGTGGCTGTATATTGATAGGAAAAAATATCAATTTTTCTTCAGCATAATAAAAAGGTGTGCTATCCGTAGGACGGTCACACTTACCGACTTCAGAAAACCGATAGACAGGGTTGCTACTCTACGATAACCAGGCAACTAAGAAAAGTAAATATTGGGCCAAATTTAGTTAAAAGGCAAAGGTACATTGGTTATAGGAGGTTATACTCAAAATGGGCATTGCAAAGGAGACACTGAGTGACTACAAGGAGCTCTACGAGAAGGCAAACAAGCTGGTGGAGGAGGAGAGTCGTGGCGATCCGCCCACAGATCCATTCCGTTCCCACTACAAAGCGCGCGATGTGCTGAAAGATTTAAAAAAGCAGCTGGAAGATCAGCTCGTTTCCATCCAGGCCAGCGAGGAGGATGGCGGCAAGGATGACCTGTGCTACAAGTCTATGCTGGCATTCATCTGTCGAGATCTGGGGCGAATCTACGTGTACACGGAGGAGCTGTCTGAGGGTGAAACCCTGCTGAACCGTTGCATAGAACTCACAGACCCGGTAAAGCAGTGTGCAGAAGGAATTATACCTTATCTGGGAGCGATCAACGAGCTCAGCCTTGTCTTTGCCACGCGACAGGAGTACAGAAAGGCTGCGGACATGCTGATTAAGGCGGAGAAGAACTACGAGGATTTCAAGGCCAATGGCGTTGGGGCGTTGGCCATAACGGATCTGTTCAGTCCGCCGGATGAAGCGGATGCAGCCTCTGGTCCGACAGAGCTGGAAAAGCTGTACACCCTCTGTTGCTTCTATTTAGCCCAAATGTATGGTCATCTGGGCGAGCCAGAGAAGTCCGCCAGTTGCTGTCATCGCACACTACGTCGGCAGCTTCAGTACAAGTCATACGACGCCATCGACTTTGCCTTAAACACGGCCACTCTCTCGCAGTTCTACATTGGGGAGGAGCGCTTCAAGGAGGCACGGCATCACCTGGCCGCAGCCACGCTCGTCATGGCCGAGTATGAGGTTACCATGCTGACGCCGGACATGAGTGAGCAGCAGCGGCAGGATGCCACTGAGACCTTCAAGCATCGCTATGCCGATGTGGCTCGCTGCTGGGCCAAGTACGGCTTGTATTTACTGCAGACATCAAAGAGTCGGCTGCTAAAAGACGACGATGAAGAGGCTCAAAAACTGGACAAGGCCGCCCAGCATCTGCGGCTGACAGAGGAGGATTTCAGGTTCCCGGATCTGGATTTGACTGCCTGCGAGAACCGCATTAGCTGTGATTATTGCCTGACTTTTGACGATGCCAAGCTGGTGTTTCACTTTGTAAACGAATGGCTGGACATAGCAAAGGACTACTATAAGGCAGAGACAGAGGCTACAGAGTACTCCAAGATTATGCAGGACTACGCGGAGGCCTACGAGCACATAGCATTCTTCGAAGAGAATCCTGACAATCAGGCTAAGATGCAGAAAAGGCGCGCCAAGTATCTAGAGGACCTCATCGACCTGCTCGACCCCATCTTCTACATGAAGATCTGCAGGGAGTGCTGGTACGGAGCCGGCACGGCACACGCTGCTGTCCTGGACGTCCGCCTAGACATAATCAGGGAGAAGCCGACCCCTTCCGCAGACGAAATTAAAAAGGTCAATCAGAGCTGCATGAGGGCTATCAAACACTTCGAGAGCTATGTGAAGTCCTACCTGGCCGCCCCCAACAGCGAGGAGTGGCGCACCAGCATGGATGTGGAAGAGCAGCGCACCATGCTATACGCCCATTTTCACATTGGCAGAATCTACTACAAACTGATCAGCGCACATCCTCTCCAGCAGCTGGAGCACCTCAACAGCTGCCACACCTACTACAAGCGCTTTATCTCCGGCTGTGAGCTGTACAAGGAGGCGGCCGAACCGCTGCATGGGGAGATTGGTGTGGTGCGCGAAATGCTAGAGCTGCTTCCTCTCAAGATGACCACGGTCAAGGCGAGGTTGTCGTAAATATACGATTTTAAGACAATTTCCAACAAACTGCATTTCCAAAAGCTTTATAATACAATAAAACGCTTGCACTAAAAGGGTAGCCCACTTCCCGACGATTTCTTGCTCGCGATGCGCACTGACATGGGCGACTCGCAGCTGGACGGCTTGTACTGGCGCCGCTTGATCAGGTCACGCTGGATATTGCTGCCCAGCTTGCGGACGGGAACGGCCGTGATGCCGTCCAGCAGATTCTCTTTGGCATGCTTCAGGGTGCTCGTGATCAATTTCTCCACGCTGATTGCACGCGGATCCACCATCGGCTCACGCTCTAGTATGTCCACAATGATGCGCAGCGTCTCGTCCGACAGAAACTCTTCCAAGGGCAGCACCTCGATCAGCTCCTTAAACATGTGGGTCACAATAAAGTGAGTGCGATTAACCACGTCCGCATCCCCCAAATGAACATGGGCGCACAGCGAGTCCTTGGCATGATCAAATATGCCCGAGATCAGCTCCTCGGTGTTCACATCGCTCCGCTCGTAGTCAAAGACGGCCACCACCTCGCTGAACAGTTTTCGCAGCTCATCGGCGCTGATGTGTATGAAATACTTTTTGGGGACAATCGTCTGTAGGTGCTCCGTGATGCACTCGGCAATCCGATCAGTGTACCTTCCCTGAAAGTGGAATCGCACCCCAATTTTTAGTGAATATTTAATCGAAGACAGATCTTACCTGGAAGCTGTAGGCCGCTTGACAGAGGTACAGGGAGGCTCGATGCGAGAATTTCCTCACATTTTCAGGTGTTGTGCTACGGCCAAAAAAGCGATTGAAGCTCTTCTGCACGATGGTGTGCACCCGGTCCATTATGAAATCATCTGGCATGGGGGGCAGCATATAGGCATCCACATTTAGTATGGCTGGACACACGAGAGCATCGTCGTTCGGCAGGAGCTCGCTGGTCACCTGCGGCTCCTGAGACGAATCCGTCTCATTGTTGATCTGCAGCGGCTTTGACTTGAGTCGCAGGGCACAGATCTCCCGTTCTAGGCACTGTTGGGCGAAGCGGAGGGGAGCCTGGATAGGATGCTTTGAGTAGAGGAATACCACGGCATACCTCAATTTGCTGAAGTAGCGACTTCTCAATACCCATCAGCTTCTCGATGTCGTAGGAGAGATTGAGCACTTGAGGCTTTGTCCATTTAGCGTAGTTGCGCTCCTGGGTGTCCAGAATAATCCCAAGGATATTCTTCTCCTCGCGCAGAACAGTGAGTATGTTGAGCTTTTCAGTGTTGTTCTGAGTCTCCTGGATTAGCTCTTCCTCGCACCGACAGAGCTCTCGCTGCGAAGGAAATGGATATTCAAGGGACGTGAGATCGAGTCAAGTCAGAACTCACCTGTCTTTCCAAGAGCTCAAGTTCGAGAGCCCTTAGCTCATCCTCAGCCGTGGTCTCCAGTTCGAAGACGTAGCGCCTCAGTACCTCCTCCTCCAATTCGTCAAGATTGACAATTAGGCCGAACTTCTTCATCATGGCCTGCCTGATCTCCTCCTCGAGACGTGTAATCTCATACTTCATGAACTTAATATCTGTGTTCATGCGTCGAAGGTGGACAATGTTGATGCGGTGCCAGCGGCGCGTGGCCAATGTCTCCTCGTTTAGCTTGTCCGCACGACGGCGTAGGTCTATCAGCATGTCAGCATCGAAGAGTATGGCCTTGGACAAGTCGCGGTAGTCGTCGCCCTCGTAAAAGTGCTGTAACTGATCCATGCGCAGGATGGCACTAAGCTTCACCTTGTTGATCTCTTGCTGCCGTTGTCGCTGGAGAAGACAAAAATAGTAACCGGTAGCTACACAGGAACATGTATAGAGAACCTACCCTGAAGTCTAGGAGGGCATTCTTTTCGCGCTGGTATACTTCCTCGTGGTACTTCATATTGATCTGCATCTCGGAGATCTGTTTGCGTTTCATGTCCACATCACGCTGCAGATCCAGGACTTCGCGCTCAAGCTCGTGGCGATCGGCCCGCATGGCGAAGGCCAGTTCGTAGAGAGGACGTTCCAGGCCACTGGGACAGGTGGTCTCATCCAGCCGAATGGTGGTCATGTCCAGCGAGTCAAGACTCTTCGTGTCGGCCTCTTCGTCCTCGCTGGAGGATGACGACTCGGAGGAAGACGAGGATGACTCGTCGTCGCCTCTTATCCGCTTGGGCGGGCGCCATTTCTTCTTGAAGATGCGCCGCAGGAAATCGAAGAATTTGTGGCCCTTGACAGTGCTCATAAAAGTCAACTGAAGCGCAGCGATCTGCTCGCCCAGCTTGTCAATGCTCTTGCGCAGGTCGTCCAGCTGCCGGTTGGTGTCGTTGATCACCTGCTGAAGCTCGTTGCGGGTATTCATGGCTATTTTGGCGTTCTGAAGCAGCTGTGTCTCGATCTCCTCGCTGTCACGCAGGATGTAGAGCTCCTGGTTGAGACTGATCAAGAAGGAGGCCATGAATTCGGCCTCCATTTTCACGTGAAAGCGCTTGACATGCAACTTCTCGAGTTCCTTGTCGAACAATCGGACCTCCTCGTTGATCTCCCCACAGATAAAAGCTTGCTCGAGCAGCATTTCCCTCAGCCAACGGTGGCGCAATTCCAGCATCATCGGGGAATCGCCCGCCTCGTTCCTCTCAAAGTAGGCGGCATCGCTGGGCGGGGGTAACTGCTGCAGCTCCTCGCTCAGCTCGGTATTCGATAATGTCTGCCCCACCTTAGATATCTGTAGCGAAGCGAACATGATTGATTCTTTTAAATCTGTCGTATTTCTGTCGGCCAGGCTCTGACTGCTACAGGTCAGGGAGAATTTCTCCGATTTCAGGGAGGCCATCACTTCCTCCACGGTGCGCTCCAAGTGCAGGATATCATCAATGTTCACCCCGCAGCCCGGTTGGAAGTGCTCGATTAGATTCAACTCCGGATACTCCGAGTCCATATCCACTTCATGGATAGGTTCCACGTGAAGGCGATCCTTCGCCGGCAGATATTTATGAATGGCATCGAGGCGTTCCCTCTTCTTGTGGATTGACTCTATCAGCACTTTCTTGCGGTCTCTCATCGCCATCACTTGTTGGTTGAAGCTGTCCACCAGCTCAAAGTGTCGTTCTCGACACTCTACGACTTCTATGTACTTGTAGGTCAGCGTCTCGGTCGACTTGGGCTCGTAGTCTGCCCCGATCTTTAGCTTGTAATCGCCCAGATTGCGCATCGCCTCCTCGATCTGGGCATCGTCATCGGGATGGTTCCGGTTTGGGTCGGGCTTCTGCCGCTCCAGCTTGTCCCAGTCGAAGATGCGTCGGATTTCGTATATCTGCCGCTTGCGATAGCGCAGCAGAAGGCGCATCATTTTCTTGCTAAAGCGTGGCGTTATGCTACGAGGATCGCGTCCAAAGAAGAAGCTTTCCGGCGGTGGTTCCCCAATTGAATCTTCCTTCTCTTCGGCCACGACCAGTTCTTGAAGACTATTGGAAAATTGATGTCAATCAGTGGATATATTTCAACAGGGATATACTTGATCTACGAAAATTCTGTGTAAGTGTGTCTTATAAAACTAAACTAAAGGGTGCTTGAATCGGTTACGTGCTATAGGAAAAAAAAAATATGGAACTGAGGTTCCGGTGATCATAAAGGACACACAAGAAAGAACTGACAAGTGCAGGTGGTATAGGGGATAGCTGGCTTACACTTCCGGCTGTTCTGCGATACGATCCTGTCTGTGTAGGCTGCTTGTCGGACATAGCAAGAGATTCATGTTTGTGTAGCCGAATGTCAAGTGTGGCAGGTCCTCGTTGGAATGTGCTGGAACACACTTACCCCAGATCGTGCTCCTGTTTTAGACGCTCTTCGATGTCCCGCTTGATCTGCTCGAACTCCTCGCCGAGGGCTTGCAGCCGAAAGGTGGAAATGCCCGAAACACGGGAGCTGTCAAGGGAACAATCATGAGGTCACGCAATCCCAGAGCACTGAACTCACCGCAAAGAGGAAACTGTGAAAGGGACATGGTCGAGCTCCTTTAAGAAGTGAGTGTACAACTTGGAGTGGCCCACCTGAGCGAACTCCAAGTCGTAGGCCAAATCCTCGCGCACATCATCGAGCTCTGCCTGGAGCTCCTCGCGTATCTGCTGCGTAATGCGATTATCTAGGAGTAAATCAGAGTCCTTAGCCCGCAGCCCGAGTGGGACATCCTCGTTGCGTCTGACGATTTCGAAGTATTCGCTCTGCAAGGATCCAATCTTTGCCAGAACAGCGTTGTCGTGCGCCTGAGCCGCCTCCTGTTGGCGCTTAAGCTCAGCATTGATTTTCTCTTGCTCCAGAGATGGTGTCTCCGGATCTATGATGTCCTCGGGCACCTCCACTCCCGCGGGCAGTGCAGGCAGATCCGCAAACAGTTCGTTTTTGACAATTCGATTTTCCCCTTTCCACTTGTAAAGAAATATATTGCCGTCGTGGCCAATGGTCAGCATGTGCTCCCCGTTGTAGCTTGTCTGGATGCTGGGAATGATGCCCTTTAAAGCATCGTGCATGGGATAAATGCGATACTCGGTTAGGTCGGTAAAATTTTCCGGATTCATGCGATTGATGCGCAGGCGTCCGTTGATCAGCCCAAAGATAAGGTACTCATCGCTGTGGGCGAAATTGGACAGTTAAGAGGAGTTCTCTTTGATCCTGCGATGATAAACTCACATAATGCAGTACGAATGTATCTCCAGGTCATCCGCATCCTCTATCATGGTGCTATGGGTGGGTTCGGCGGCCCCGAACTCGAGCTCGTATATGTAGCCCGCATCATAGCCCGCCATGGACACCCAGATGGTGTCGCGAACCGTGTAGCGCAGCCATATGATGGGGTTGGGAACACTGGGTATGTGTAGTGGCTCCTCCTCCTCGTCCGGCTCGGAGTCGGCCAAGGCCGATTCCATATCGATCTGCAGCCCCGGATTAGCCTTCTTCAACTTCTCGATCTCCAACATTTTTCTCTCCCGCTTGCGTTCCTTGCGTTTCTTAATCTTTTCCCGGCGTATGTCCCGGCGTATGCGGCTCTTTACAGACACGAAGCGGGTGCTGCGCATTCGCGACGGCTCCGAAATATTGTAGCTCAGATAGGTCTCTTCTTCGGTGATCGCTATGCGTATGTCGTACTCGAACACCTCGCCCGTCTTGCAGCCAATGAGTACTACGTTCGGCTCCACATTGTGCCAGTAGAAGCAGTTAGGAACCGCCGTGAGCTCCACGAATCCCAGCGGCCTGAGGCTCACCAAATTCCACTCATCCCGGCCCAACTGGTAGATGAAGATGCTTTTGTCGGCGGCCCCGCTCAGAAGAAGAGAGCTGCTCCGATTGATGGTCAGCCGAGTGATGCGCGAAGTGTGGGCCTTAATTGCGCGCACCCGTTTCAGGGTTGGGTGGCCGGGTTTGCTCAGGTCGAGAAAGAGTTGGCGAAGAATGCCGTCCTCGAATCCTGCCACCAGCTCTGTGCCATACTCAGAGATCTGGGTGTCAAACCAGAGAAAGTCCACGCCGCCGGAAGCGAACTGCTTTTCCAGCAGCAGACGCCGCTGTTCGTAGTCGTATACGAAGATCTTGCCGCACTCCGAGAGGGCGAGGAAATGAGGCGATACGGGGGACATTTGGGCGGCCAGAACCCGACCGCCAATGCAGGAGTACAGCTGGCGGGGTTTCTGGGGCACGTCGTAGGTGTTTATGTCGCAGAACCATATGCCACCCTTGCCATCCTGGGCGTAGTGAGTGAAGTCCATCTCGTCGAAGGGCTTGATCTTCTGCATGCAGCGCAGCTCCACTTCGGCGATCTTGAACTCGTAGATGGGATCGATTTCCACAAAGAGATCGTCTTCCGGGGGATCTGCCAAATCGACTGTTTCCCAGTACCAGACACGCACATATCCATCCATACCCACTGTGGTCACCTCGCCGTTCTTCATCGTTATTCGGGTGATGGGTCTGGTGTGGCAAGGCTTGCGACCCTTGCGGCACACCTCGAACTTGATCAGACCTGCCTGCCACAGCAGCATGTTGCCCCAGTCGCAGCCGGAGATCACGTTCTCGTCTGGCAACATGTACATGGCGTATATGTCACTGAAGTCCGTCTTTCCGAACCGGCCCAGATCGCCCTTCAGCTTGAGACCCGTGAAGGTGTTGGCCATCTTCCAGAACTTGATGTGGCTCAGACCGGAGGAGCAGAGCAGTATGGGATTGTATACGGAAAAGTGCACGAACAGGATATCGCTCTGAAAGGATTTTGCCCGAAGTATTACTTCAGCCTTTTCCCAGCGCCAGATGGTGATGATAAAATCGGGATATCCCGCCTGGGAAGCGAACAGATCGCCTGTGGAATTGTATGATCCCGCCGTAAAGCAGGCCTTGGCCGCATTTAAGAGCTTGACGCGCACATTTTGTGAGGGATGCTCGTATATATATATCGTGGGCTTGGGTCCATTCTCGCCCACTGTGTAGAGATTCTGGTAGTCGGGATGTTCATTTTTCTGCAAGCCACATATACCACAATATATATTTGAATGCAACGTTGAGATGCCCAGAAACTCACTGTTATGAAGCCAATGCCGCACCCTGATACGGTTTCCTGGAATGTTACCTCCTGGCGTGAGATGCTGAAGGTGTGGAGATAATTTCCGGATGCAAATATTAGGGTATCCGGGTCGACCAGCACCAGGTTAAATAATCGCTTGCAGTTGTATCCGAAGGAGTGCCTGGCAAAAGAAGATAGATATCATTATTAGATGAGTTTTATGCGGAAGTCTCTCTCTCACTCCAAACTGATGATGTCCTGCTGGAAAGATATATCCTGTTCGTCCAGAAGTCCCTCCTCCTCGCCCAGAAGATCGAAGTCTTCGTCATTTCCTTGTGAACTATCCATTTTTCTTTAGCTGATAAACTGAACAGTTCTTTATTTTTGATCAACTTTAAAAAGTTTGCTTCACCATTTTTGTTTTTTGTTTGATTGTTGCCAGGGGCGCTTGGAAAAATATTGAGCGACGTGGAGCATGCGCAGATCCGTTCATTCAAGACTATAATTTATTCGTATAATTCAACAGTTGACAAATAAATGCACTCTATTCACTAAATATCTAAATTCATAAACGCTTCATCATCTTCATCATCTTTAAAGAAATCTGCGAAACCAGCCTCTTCATTGTCTTCTTTTGGTTTATCTAAGAGATTGTTTTTGGTTTCGCTAGGAGTTCTCGTTGGAGCTGGCGATAGGAACTGTTTGATTGTGCCCTTTATAGGCACAGTAGATTTGGCAGGCGAAAAGTACTGCTCAATTTTGTTGGACTACAAAAGTTACAAATTATATTTTCTAGAATTAAGTAAAATATGCTGTAAATTCACCGAGGTGGGGGCCGATGTATGTGTGCCCTGCTGCAGGTTCTCCGCAAAGATTCCCACTTTGCTTAGGACCTTCTGTTTGTTTATTAGCATTTTCCAAATGGTGTCGTCGGCCGTTTCATTGGCCAACAGGTAACGACAAATCACCGTCTTTGTCTGCCCAATACGATGGGCACGACTTTCGGCCTGGGCAAGCGTCTGAAAATCATAAAGAAATACCGAAATGATTCGTTATTTAACCTGCGATCATAACCAACACTTGGGTTCCAGTCCAGCTCTGCAAAGACTATAAGCTCGGCTGCGGTCAGGGTGATGCCCGCGTTGCATGCCTTTAGTGAGAGCACAGCCACCCGGCAGCTGCTTTTATTCTGGAACGCGGACACCATGTCCGCCCGGAGATCGCTGCGCGTTTGCCCATCGATCCGTATGTGGTGCACATTGAGTGCGCTGAGGCAATCGCTAATGGCATCCATCATGACGCGATGATGGGCAAACACAATAAATTTTTTTTGCTCCTTGACAAGCGATTTGAGGTAGGCACTAAAAAAAAAAAAAGCTGTATCAATCCTTCACTCTTGTATTCCAAAAGAAGTTACCAAACAGCCCGGGCTTTGACCTCCGCGGTGCGCGCATAGAAACGCAGTAGAATCTCTTCCATGATCTTGCCTTTGCTGTTTCGAAGCTCTTTGTTCATGGCATCCAAAGTGGTCTTCGTTTCGTCGTTGGTCCAAATTAAAGAGGGGTCTAGGACAACAGTTTCACTGAGGATAAGTAAACGCATTTACGGAATAACAACTGTATAGTTCGTAATAAAGGCAAAAGATTTACGCACCGATTCTTTTCAGCCAGCTGTGGTAGCACCTCAGATTTCGTGCGTCGGATCATGTACTTTAGTGTGAGTATAACCTTGAGTTCTTCTAAATTTGATTGTCCATTGGCATCCCAGCCGAACTGTGATTGCTTTCCATCACAGTAGCGCGTAGCTGAAGAATAATGTAGCATTTTAGACGAGATATAGTCAAAGAAAACAGACTATAGGACTTACAGAACTCCTTAAAATTCAGGAACTTGCTATCAATTAGCTGCAGCTGTGTGAAAAGCTCCACAGGCCGTGAGAGAGCTGGAGTGCCCGACAACAGGACAACTCGTTTCGCCTGATCCGTGAGCCTCTTTGCCACCGCCGTACACTTAGCCTTGCTATTCTTAAGGGTATGGGATTCGTCAAAGATGATGAAGCCGTATTTACGCTGATACAACTTGTCAATGTGGCGTTCCATCATGTTGTAGCTGGTGATTAACACTTGGGCATCGCCTACATACTGCTGATTATTGTTGAGCACCTGGATGTAGTGGAGTGGAACTTTGGGAAGCAGCTCTGTTATGTGCACAGCCCAACTATCCCGCGTTGAGGCCGTGGTACACACTAGCAAGGGCCAATCCTCCTTGAAGTAATCAGCTACAGCCAAAGCTTGATAGGTCTTGCCTAAACCCATTTCATCACAGATCATAATCCGTCCTTTTTGTGCAATCGCGAAGCTAAAATTAAATTAAATCAGAATTTTTCTTTGTATGTTTCCACGCAATCTGACACACTAACCATACTCCGTCCTGTTGAAAGGGCATCAATCTGTCCGCCAGCTTGGGTTCGATGGATGCTAGCACGCTACGCTCCAGAGTCTTAGGTGGCTGCCGACAGAGGTCAAGGATCTTTTTAGGTATGGTTTTAATGGTCACATGGGGCTTTAAGTCCGCAACATGTGTCTCGAACAATTGATAATCCTTGACATCAAAGTTCCAGAGCCGGGTGGTACTGTCATAGGATCTGGTAGGTATGTTCTTGAACACTGCAATCAATTGTTCGTGATAGGCCGAAGTTTTTGCGGCAAAACGGCGCACACTTATCATATAAACACTACAGGTTATGCAGTTAACGAAAACAGCCGCCAATGGCTTATCCTTCTCCTCAGCGAGGGACAACGTTGGCTGCTGTTGTTTGCTGTCCCCCTTAGGACGCTGATAAGGATGGGCGTCTGCGCGGCCCTGTTCCCGCGCAGAGGTTTGCTTGATGGCTTTAAGGGCATTAAAAAAAGATGAGCTCCTGTTGTCGCCGGCCGCGGCGCTGGACGTGGAAGCTGCTCTGCTGTTATTTTCCGTCGCTGGTGGCGATCTGTAGAAGTTAACTGGAGACTTTAAGGCCAGCTGGGAGGGATTTGGTACTTGTTGCTGCGCGATTTTTGTCGGCGGCGCCTTAGAGTTGACGAGCTGTGACTTTTTGGCTTGCAGCTTGGCCAAGGCAGCGCGCTTCTTTTCTGCTATTTCAGCAATGCTACAAGTGGACATACTAAACCAAAATAGCTAAAAACAGCTTAAGTAAAATAAACTTGTAGCGTCTCGTATCATCAAAAACCGGACTTAGCCCACTTAAGCCCCCTCTATTTAAATAGTTCAACTTGAGGTAAATGGCGGAGAATATTAAAGATTGTAAGTTCTTCTTGTCGCTCCATGCCATCTTTCATCTGAACTTAAAAAACCACACAATATTTCACCTGAACTGCGCTAACATTATTAAATTTGCATTATTTTCGAGGGAAAATTGAAATACCCCCTTGGCTTACAATGGGTTAATCGTTCAGAGGAAATCCCAAAAAAGTCCCACCAAACTTAAGCGCCAAAACGAAATTGTTTGAATGTGAATGAGCGAAAATAATTTAAATGCAATCTATTGGAATAAATGATACACGTAAGTACGATTTGTGACCGGATCCTAAGCACAATGAATGAGAATTATCAATAAAGTTCTTTAAGTTTGCTCTTACCGTTTTGATTAGGAAGAGTTATCAACTTCCATTTCTATTATCAAGTTTAAACCGGCATGTAGGATTTCCCAAAACGAAGAATTTTGGAAATAAAAGCCTTTATCTAGATCTTTAAGAGTCAAATACGCCAATACGTTATCTATTAATTTAAGAACTAGCAATGTACTCTTTAGTATAGGATAACATCAAGTGGGTGCACTCAAGCATAAGAAGGGACTTTGATAAGGAGTTTGTATAAAAGCGTCTGTATGCTGGAAATTGGTCATGAGTTACTCAGTCACCATGAAAGTGTTCGTAGTATTGGCTCTGGCTTTGGCCGCCGTCTCCGCAGAGACTATCCAGCAGGTTCACCCCAAGGACCTGCCGAAGGACACCAAGATCAATGGCCGTATTGTCAACGGCTACCCTGCCTACGAGGGCAAGGCCCCCTACACTGTTGGGCTCGGCTTCAGCGGCAACGGCGGCTGGTGGTGCGGCGGTTCCATCATTGCCCACGACTGGGTTCTGACTGCTGCTCACTGCACCAACGGAGCCAGCCAGGTGACCGTCTACTACGGCGCAACCTGGCGCACCAACGCCCAGTTCACCCACACCATTGGCAGCGGTAACTTCATCCAGAACCACAACTGGCCAAACAACAACGGCAACGACATCGCTTTGATCCGCACTCCACACGTGGACTTCTGGCACATGGTCAACAAGGTCGAGCTGCCAAGCTATAACGACCGTTACAACATGTACGATGGATCCTGGGCCGTGGCCTGCGGCTGGGGTCTGACCACCGCCGGCTCTCAGCCCGACTGGATGGAGTGTGTCGATCTGCAGATCATCAGCAACTCTGAGTGCTCCAAGACCTATGGCTCCCAGCCCGACGGCATTCTCTGCGTCTCCACCTCTGGCGGCAAGTCCACCTGCTCGGGCGACTCTGGCGGCCCTCTGGTCCTCCACGACGGCGGCAGACTGGTTGGTGTCACCTCCTGGGTCGCTGGCAACGGTTGTACCGCTGGCCTTCCATCTGGCTTCACTCGCGTCACCAACCAATTGGATTGGATCCGGGACAACTCTGGTGTTTCGTACTAATAAGTCCGGTTTAAAATTTCAATAAAATAAATGCATTAACAAAGAAACCATTTGTTTGAATTTTAATATTAAAGAGGTAGTTATCAACACAAATATGACGTCCACACTTAATTCACATATTGAACTGTTCAAAAATTTTCTTTTAAAATCGTTTATTCAATGGTCCCTCAGTTCGATCTTGGATAGAAGATTTTCCGACATGTATACTAAATGAAAATGTTATTGGGTTTAAATACTGTGTACAGATAAGTTTTTGTTATATTGTTATTATTACAATATTCACCTTTACACCTCTTTATACATACATATGTTCCTCTTGAGTTGGGTTTATATCAGCCATAAGTTATTCTATATGTATAAAAATCTTGCGTCACGGTATTTGTGGTTAAACTCCTCCCAATAGGCTCCATCGATTTTTAAGAAACTTTTTTTGTATATTTAGTAGGTATGCGAATTGGTGGTAGAGTATTTTTAGTCTTCCTACCACCACCCACCACTTTTTAATCTGGATTTTAGAATTTTTGGCATAACGATTTTTGTCTGGAAGAACAGAAATTTGGCCAATATGTGTGTATATTCCAGTGAACAATGGCAGAAATACGCAGGGACCAAGTTGCGCCGTCAAACAAATAATGCAACAAACTTGCAAAATAGTAGAGCAGAAAGAATCCGAGAAAATTTGCGTGTAAGCATATCTCATCTTAATCACAATTACAGAGAAAATCGCAGGCAACGTCAAGAAGTACATCGAGTATTTACATCCGCTTCGTTTTAAGGGTCAAGGATTAATTGAAATTTTTTCAATTATATAACTTGGGAAATTTTTCTGCTTTATCTGAAATATTACTATGCAAATCAGTTCATTCGCATTTCATTTGGTCGTATCTTCTTTCGCCTCGAGTTGGCTTATAGGAATCTGTTGTGGAGTACGCCCTGAATGGGCTGGCAATCAAGACTTATCATGGTATCAACTCGAAAGGTCTGCACGACGACTGTGATTGAAGCGCACAATCTGTTAATGAATGAAAAGAGTGGGTTTGAGTAGAGTGGACTGGCATGAGCCACAGGAACTAGAAGATAAGATTGCCGGTGTAAGTGGATTGAACTTTCAAGTATTTATTTTCCATCTCAAATTCGATACCCCGAATGCCCCTATATAAATCATTGTCGGGACTGCCATTATTCAGTTGTGCTAAATTGTCCAACATGAAACTGTTCCTCGCTGTCCTGGCCCTGGCCTTTGCCTGCGCTTCTGCTTTGCCGCAGAAGGCCGAACCTGTGCCACTGAAGGACGCAGTCCTCGGCTCGTCCCCTGGCTCCATTGAAGGTCGTATTACCAATGGTTATCCTGCCTACGAAGGAAAGGTGCCCTACGTCGTTGGCCTGGGCTTCAGCAAAAGCGGCAGCGGCTGGTGGTGCGGTGGATCCATCATCGGCAACACCTGGGTGGTTACGGCCGCTCACTGCACCCACGGTGCCGACTCCGTGACCATCTACTACGGCGCCCTGTGGCGCCTGCAGGCCCAGTACACCCACACCGTGCACAGCGGCAGCTTCAGACAGCACTCTAACTACAACACCAACAACCTGAACAACGACATCTCACTGATCAACACCCCACACGTGGACTTCTGGCACCTGGTCAACAAGGTGGAGCTGCCCAGCTACAACGACCGCTACAACACCTACTCCGGATGGTGGGCTCTGGCCTCCGGCTGGGGCAGGACATCCGACAACAGCGGCGTGTCTGACTACTTGAACTGCGTCGACTCCCAGATCATTGACCGTTCTGCCTGCTCGAGCGTGTACGGTACTGATGTGATCACCGACCACGTCATTTGCACCTCGACTCCCGATGGCAAGTCAACCTGTTCCGGCGACTCTGGTGGCCCTCTGGTCCTCCACGAAGGCAGCAAACTGGTTGGTGTCACCTCCTTCGTGGCCTCCAACGGATGCACCTCCGGTCTTCCTGATGGTTTCACCCGTGTCACCAGCTACCTGGACTGGATCCGCGACCACACCGGCATCTCCTACTAAATTATTTTGTTCTTGAAATAAATAAGTCGTAGCACCCCGTAAAAGTTTTGTTTCCTTTTCACTTTTGATTAAATTAGTTTCTGCGTGACAGCAGACGTCGTTTGCCTAGACGCTGCCGCCTTATCGGCTGGGAATACAGGCTCTTTGTAGTTAGTAAGGAATCCCGTATCTACCATATTTTCAATACGAATATGAGGGATTTGTTTACTTTGACTTTTGATAATGTGCCGTGCCACTTTAATTGCGCATCTTCAAAATATATTGGAAATCTTTTGCACTTTAAACCATTCCATAATTTTAGCTTAATCATACATATATATTCCAAATCTATGCAAAATGTATTTCTTCGTATCTTTCCAACGAAGCAGGCCCAAGCATTATCAATCAATAGATACAATGACCAGGTGCGAAATTTATCTCAAGTGGAGTACTCGAGTACTCGGTTTACTTATTGTATATTTAAATTGACAATTTTTTTGTTGTTTTTTTTATAACCTTGTTTCAGATTATATATATATTTATATACTAAACAAAACTATAGACACTGATTAGATAGAGGAGAGGAGTGTAGTTTCGAGCAGAGAGGCGGCCAGGCCGCAGGAAAGATCTAAGGTAAGTTCTGACATCAACATGAAGGTTTTGGCTATTCTGGTTTGACCCATCATTCGATGAAGAGTTATTTATCAAGAACATACCCATGTCCACCAAGGTCGAGTTCCGCGTTACTTTATCAGTTGCAGCCTTTCAAATTTCTTCTGGCGCGGCGCACTCACAATAGCCCATGCATGTGCATATATAAGAACACCAATCGACAATATTCCAACCAAATGTTTGTTTCAATAAATATGTAAAGATTTGCTCGAATCTCATACATTTTCGTATTCATTATTACAATTAAAGCTTCTTTATTAACTATATGGACAATGCGCTGCAGGGCATCGTTTGATTCACAACATATCTGCCTGCTGTCTGCACGCACCTTAACGGACTGGAACCCAGCTCTCCAAGACATCGGCGTACTTCTTGCGATCTGAAGTGAGAACACCAGAAGGAAATTGAGTTATCGCTCGGGAGTAATTGAAACTTCTAGTCCACTTACCCTTCACGGGAAAGTCCTCGGGATGCAGCTCGATGTAGTGCCGCAGCACGGCATCGCGTTTGGCCAGATACTCGTTTCTTTTCTGGTCGAAATAGTAGCCGGCACCACCGCCAATGGCCGCAAAGGCAATATGTTTCTGGATGCCTATCGGAGAACGTTCATAATGCATTAAACTACTAGATTTAAAGCACAAAAACAATGTTACGTCACATGGAGACAGCGCAACACTTACCCGACATTACGGGCTTACGGAAGCCCCAGTTGACGAAAATGGCCAGACCGAAGCCGGCCAGGGTGCAGGCAAAGGGATTCCATA